AATGGTTGATTTACATATCTCTCTATAAAATATACAGTGCCCTAGACAGCTCTATTGGCTGATCAAAAAAGTTGAGTACTTTGGAAGGCAAATATGATAATCAGAAGCTTAGTGAACAAATAGAATTGGTGCTGGGTGTGGTGGCGCATGCCTGTGATCTCAGCACTCAGGAGGCTGAGGCAGATGGATCATCATGAGTTCCAGGCCAGCCTGAACTACATAGCAAGACTTTGTCTCAAAAAAACCCTAAAAGGGCCGGGGATTTAGCTCAGTGGTTCCATCAGCCTGCCTTACAAATCCAAGGTCCCAAGTTGGATCCCCAGTACCAAAAACAAAACAAAACAAAGAATTAGTTGGATAATTTTCACGACTAATAGAACTGCATCCATCTCCATTATAAAGATATAAGACATTCATTCATGTTGGCCAAACAAGATATCTTCTTCCCTAAATGTCACTGAAGAAAATACCAACGAATTTTGGGGGGTAGTTGGGGAGAGGATTCTTTACACTACCTCCTCGCTCCCCTTTCTATGAAGACAAGGTACAATTTAATTGATTGGGTTTCAGCTCTAGGCAAATTAATATAATTGATTCTGTTTATATCCCCTTCAGCCATGTTATTATAATTGATTGGGTTAGAGTTTGATTGTGTTAGTGCTCCGGCCATTTCACTTTAAGTGATTAGCTTGCTACAGCTTTAGGTATGTTGATAGAATTATGCTTTCCTGAAACCACGTCAGATAACTCACTGCTTCCAAAAATTGCTGATCTAATCCATTACACATTGGCTTTTCCTAATTTCACCTGTCATGCACAATATTTTGGTGCATTTTCCTTTCCTTTCCCTTCTCTTCTTTTCCTTTCCATTTTCTTTCTTTCTGCCCCCTCTCCCCCAGTACTGGGAATGGAACCCAGGGCCTTCAAACTGTGCTAAATCTTTTGGGACATTTTCTTTTTTTTTCTTTCTTTTTTTTGGTATTTTGGGGGTTTTTTGAGTCAGGGTCTACTATGTAGTTCAGGTTGGCCTTGAACTCACTTTGTAGCCAGGCTGGCCTCAAAATCAAGGCGATCCTCCTGTCTCAGCCTCCCAAGTGCTGGGATTACAGGCATGTGCCACCACACCTGACTTTTGGGGCATTTTCTAACTCTTCTTGTTTGTGTTCCCTATGCACTGAAGAACCGCAAAGGCACCTGTGCATGGTGGTACGTGCCTATAACTGAGGAAAGCTGAAGCGGGAGGATCACAAGTTTGAGTTCCATCAGGCCAATTTAGATCCTATCTCAAAAAAAAAAAAAAAAGGAAAGAACTGCAGTGCCAGCCTTGGTGATCTGTCTTTCATTTCTCTTCACACACAGCTGTCAAGTTAGTAGTCTTAAAATTGCTCCCATACAGCCTATAGAAGAGGAGAAAATGCTTAAAACTCATGTATCTGATAAAGGCCTAGTATCCAGTATACATTAAAAAGCAACAACTAAAGACAATCTAACCTAAAAATGGGCCAAGGACTTGAATAGACATTTTTCCCAGGAAGGTATGCAAATGAGCAACCACATGAAAAGATGGTAAAATCATTAGTCATTTGGGAAATGCAAATAGAAACCACAATGAGATACCACTTCATATCCACTGGATGGTGTTTAAAAAAAACAAAAACATACCGGGCATGGTCGTGCACACCTGTAATCCCAGCACTTGGGAAGCTGAGGCAGGAGGATTGCTGTGAGTTCAAGGACAGACTGAACTACACAGTGACACCCTGTCTGAAGAAAATCCAAAAAGAAGAAGCCAAACACAAAAGATCACATATTGTATGCTTCCATTTATTTGAAATGGCCACAGAGAGAGAAAGCACATTGGTAACTGCCTGAACTGGGTTGATGCAGAAGAAGGAGGGGAGGGACTGCTTTATGGATACACAGTTTTTTTGTTTGTTTGTTTGTTTGTTTTTTGGTACGGGGGATCGAACTGGGGTCCTTGAGCTTGAGCAGCAGGAGGCGAAACCACTGAGCTAAATTCCTGGCCTGGTACACAGTTTTCTTTATGGGTAATGAAAATATTTTGAAACTAGAGAGAGATAGTGGTTGTGGTTAGTTTTTACATGCATTTCACCTCAATGTAAAAAATTATTTCTCGGGCCAGGGATTTAGCTCAGTGGTTTCACTGCCTGCTGCACAAGCGCAAGGACCCAGAGTTCGATCCCTGGTACCAAAAACAAAAAATTATTTCTCTAATTTCATGCATGTTCTCAAAAGTGTTTAATGGTATTCAATTATATATAATAAATAACAATAGTAGACTAACAGTTTACACATATTATCTTACTTTATCTTCACTTTGGTAATGATTTTTTTTTTGGTACTGGGGATCGAACTCGGGACCTTGTGCTTGTGAGGCAGACAGCAGAACCACTGAGCTAAATCCCCAGCCCCATGATTTTTTTTCTTCCTTTTTTTCTGCCTTTTTCTTTTTCTTTGTGGTATCAAGGATTGAATCTAGGTCCTTGTGCATGCTGGGCAAGTGTTCTAGAGCTGAACTACAACTCTAGCTGGGTTTTTTTTGTTGGTGGTTTTTTGGTACTGGGGATCAAACTCGGGTCCCTCCGCTTTTGAGGCAGGTGGCAGAACCACTGAACTAAATCCCTGGCCTTTAGCTTTAAAAAAAAAAAAATTATATCGAGCTGGGTGTGGTGGTGCATGCCTGTAATCCCAGCACTTGGGAGGCTGAGGGAGGAGGATTGCCCTGAGTTCGAGGCCAGCTTGGGCTATACAAGTGAGTTCAAGTCCAGTCTGAACTACATAGCGAGACCCTTCGCTCCGAAAATTATCAGTTACTCCACAGAAAAGGAGTCAGTTACCCTGCATACCAATCACATCCCATTTTTCCTGCTGGGAGTCCTGGTAGAACATGTAGCTCTATTGGCGTAGGGTCTTCAGGCAGGACTGGCATGCAAGAGACTGTACTGCAAACCCAGAGCTATTGTGGGTAAGATCAAAGTTTTGGAGCCGAGGATTTAGCTCAGTGGTTCTGGCGCCTGCCTCTCAAGCGCAAGGTCCTGAGTTCGATCCCCGGTACCAAAAAAAAAAAAAGCATAATTACATTCTGCTCCAGGTAGATGAGCATGAGACAGATCATAGTTTTGGAACCAGATTTCTGCACTCAAATATATGGCTGCCAATTGATAGTCATATAGTTTTAAATAAATTATTTAACTGGTCCAGGTTTGTTTGTTGTGTTTTTTTTGAGACAAGATCTCATTATGTAGTTCACCTGACCTTGAACTCACTATGGTAGCCCAGGCTGGCCACAAATTCGCAGTGATCCTCCAGGCTCAGGCCCCCAAGTGCTGGGATTACAGGTGTGCGCCACCAGGCCCAGCTACCGGTCCAATTTCTGTAAACAGTGTGTAATAACCATCTACTTCATAAATTTTGTTTTGTTTTGAGACAGGGTCTCGTCTTGTAGCTCAGGCTGGGCTTGAACTCACTGTGATTCTCCTGCTTCACCGTCCTTTGTGGTGAGATTACAAGTGCACGCTCCCACGCCCGGCTTTGCTGTTTGTTTTTTAACAGATAGGGATCTTGCTATGTTGCCTATTGTTGGACCATCAACCAACCCACCACCCTCCACCCCACCCTGTAGCTGGGTCTACAGGGTGGGGTGGCATGCGCCACCATGCTCAGCTTCTCTATTAATTCTATACACTACTAGAGAACTCCAAGTGTAGAGGAAAGCCAAACTTCATAAAAAAAAAAAATGAAAAGAAAAGAAAAAAAAGAAAAACCTCCTCCCTATTGTGAAATCCCAGCATTCAGTAAACTTCTCCCTTTTTTTTATGTTTTGTTTTTTCATTTTGCAACATTTTGTCCTTGCAGGAAAACCACAGGTTCTACTACTCCCTATACCGGCAGAACACACCTATTCTAGTCTCTTGTTTTGTTTTTTTTGGTACCAGGGATCGAACTTGGGACCTTGTGCTTGCCAGGCAGGCTCCGGAACCACTGAGCTAAATCCCTGGCCCTATTCTAGTCTCTTTAGCCCTTTCCCTTCATATACTCTTTTCTCTGGTCTCCAAAGCTCTAACATTCTGTTTCACCGTGAGCCAAGGGAAAAATACCTTCAGAGGCCCAGGGGTTTAGCTCAGTGGCGCCGCGCTTGCCTGCAAGCTCAAGGTCCTGAGTTGGATCGGTACCAGGAAAACAAAACACAACAAAAACAAACCTTCAGAAACTCACTGGAGTTTATTAAGGTGGGGCACACCTGTAATCCCAGCCCTCGGGAGGCTGAGATAGGAGGATAGGAGGATCCGGATCTGGCAAGTTCGATGCCATCCCGGACTACAGAGTGAGACCCTGTCACAAACAAACAAACTCACTGGTTTCCTACCCATCCCTGAGTCCAGCAAAACCTAGAAATACACTATGGGGAGCTTGTTCATGTGACAACCAACTCCTGGAGGTCTTGGGTTGTTTAACGCGCTGCGCATCTCTTGGCTCTAACTCCACTGTCTTACATTTTCTGTTAGAATGCTGGAGTGACCTGAGGATGTCTGACAGCAGAGCTAGCTGTTTGCCACAGCAGCCGCCGGTATCAGGAGGACCTAGCGGGGGCGCTGGGAATAGGGATTAGGTAGGATTAGGTAGGATTTCGTCCAGAAAAACCAAAGGCTAAGGAGACATAGCGCCCCCTAAAGGGAGTGCGCCTTAAAGCCACTAAACCAGGCCATTGCTTTCACGTGCCTTCCGCCCTACCAATTGAAAATTAACAAGAGCGTCCTCTGTTCTCCATGGAAACAGTCCCGCCCCACTGAGGCTCTGGTCCCATTCAGTCGTGAGGTTTAGCACTTTATTGAGTGTGTAAACCGACAATCAAATGCCTGTGCCACCTGGGTGGACACTTTGCTTCCGCTAAGCAAGGTAGTACACTAATTGGTCAGTACAGCAATGGCTGACTTGTCATTATCCAATGATCCTTATATTGGGCGGGGTCTAATGAGGACTCAGGACCAATCAGCGGTGGCGTTGCTTTTGCGGCTCCACGTCTGCACCAGCTGCGGGGCAAGATGGAGGCGGTGATTTTGGTAGGAGCTGGAGGGGTAGTGGAGGTGCTGCGGTGCACAGAGGGGCTGGGAATCAGGGTTCAGACAACTGGGAGGGGGAGAAAGGGGAGTTCCGGGTAATCCTCGGGAACCGAAGGCTCAACGGGCCAGTAGAATCAGTGTGTGGCCTAGTGCGGGACCCAAAGCCGTGGTTTAGATTAGGAAGCGCTGCCGGACCGAGGCAGTCAGAGTTGAGGGGAACAAAAGCTGTCCCTAGGAACCTTAGGGTCCTAAGTGCACGGGATCGGGTTCCTTCAGGGTCCCCCTGGTTCTTAGCATTAGGGATGGTATCCTGATTTGGATTTCTCCAAACATCCATACTCCAAATTGTAAAAAAAAAACAAACCAGAATACAGATGTTTGTCATCATAGACTTCTTACTTTAGTTTCAGAATTTGGTTTTTCATTGATAATTCCCTGTCAGTCTCCTTCAAAAAACTATTTTCTCTCCTGGTTTCCTGGTCATGTCTTATATAGGTCTGTCGTAGAGAATAAGCATTCCATCAAAGTTCTGGAATACCTGATAGAATTATTACGAATTGTGGAATATTTTCCACACTCGTGGTTCTCTTCTTTTCTGTTAGACTTTGGGAATTCTTACTATAGGATCAATGATGCTGATGTCCCCCTCTCTAGTTAGATGAGAACGTGGTGACTAATAGGGTGTATTAGCTTTCTTGTCCATATGGTCCTCTTCTGCTTGTTCATATAAAAGTACTTATTACCTCCTCTTTTGTTTTGAGACAGGGACTCACTGTGTAGTTTGGGCTGAACTTGAACTTGCTATGTAGCCTAGGTTGGCCTTGAACTTGCAGGGATACTCCTGCCTCAGCCTTCCAAGTGCTGAGATTATAGGTGTGCACCACCTTGCCCGGCATTACTTCTTTAGAACTGGACCAGAATATTTCTTTCAAAAGTGCCCTGTTTAGTTTTTTGAAAGGCAGTGTGTGTGTGCGTGTGTGTGTGTGTGTGTGTGTGTCTGTCTGTCTGTCTGTCTGTAAATGGATGAATTAACTTACAGCCTCCTTTCTTACCTTGAACTTTAGGCCTTTTTTTTTTTTTTGGTGTTGGTGTTGGTGGTGTTACAGAGTGAACCCAGAGCCTTTGCACTGAGTTACATCCCCAACCCTTTGAGATAGTCTTGCTAAGTTGCCCAGGCTGGGCTGTAACTTGGAATCCTCTTAATTCAGCCTCACAGAGTGCTAGGATTACAGGCATGAACGACCACTCCTGGCTCTTGGCCTCTTTCCACAGAAGCTTTTTTGTCTTTTATTTTCCTTCAGATTTCATACATGTACACATTCAGATACTCATTGGTAAAAGGAAAGAATAGGTTTTGATTTCTTTTTTTCAAAATATTCAAGAAATTGGGATGTTGGTGGCGAACACCAGTGATCCCAGCACTCCGGAGGCTGAGGCAGGAGGATCACCAGGAGTTCAAGGCCAGCCTGGACTACATAGTGAACCCTGCCTCAAAAAAACAAAAAGGGCTGGGGATTTAGCTCAGTGGTTTCGCCGCCTGCTGCACAAGCACAAGGATCCAAGTTCGATCCCCAGTACCAAAAAAAAAGTAAAAAACCAAAAAAATCAGAGAATTCTTTCTCATCATGTGGGTTGATCAACCATAAGTAAAAAGCTTCAAATCTGAGTAGTTTTAAATATTTTCTATACCAAACAATTTACAAGTTTTGTCTTTTGGGGGTTTTTTTCCCCCTAGTGTGGAAAGAGCTCTATTTCCAGACCTTTTTTTATTTTTTATTTTGAGGTAGGGTCTAAATTGCCCAGACTGGCCTTGAACTCAGGCTTGTCTGAATCTTCCTAACTCAGCCTTCCAAGTAGCTGGGATTACAGGTTTGTGACACTGTACCCTACTATGAGTATTCTTTCTGGGCTTTGTTTTTGTTTTTGAGACAGGGTCTGGCTATATAGTTCAGGCTGGCTTTAAACTCACTATGTAGCCCAGGCTGGTCTCAAACTCTCACTGATCCTCCTTCCTCAGAGTGCTGGGATTACAGGTGTGGGCCAGCATGCTTGGCTTTTTTTTCACTTTTTATTTTTAGAGTCTTTCTAAGTCACTGAGTTACCTAGGCTGGACTTGAACTTGAACTCCTTTTGCCTCAGCCTCCCAGGGTGCTGTGCTACCATGCCTGGCCAACAGATTTTTTTTTCTCTCTTTAATTTCATTTAGATCCCCCAATTAAGAATGCTTGTAAAGGGCCAGGGATTTAGTCCAGTGGTTCTGATGCCTGCCTTGAAAGCGCAAGGTCCCAAGTTCGATCCCCGATACCAAAAAAGAATGCACTGCACGTATCTTTCCCACCATTTCAGCCTTTCTTGGTTGGACTTCTGTGAGAGCATGAAGCCCCGCTGTCCTAACAGTATTCACTGTGTAGAATGGATCAGCTCTTTGTGGCATTAGCCTGTGCCAGCCTTCGAAGAAAATGAATATTTAAAAATTCTATATTCAGTGGTTGAGGTGAGGAACCTTAGTTGAGAATCCGATGATCTTTCCTAAGTCTTTATTCCTCCTCTCACTGTCCTCACACACTGGCCCACTGAACTCACTGCTGCTGTTCCTCATTCCCTCAGCCTCCGAATTCATCTGCTCAGCATCATCTCCTGGTTCTTAAGCTTTCAGTCTTCATTATGAGAAGAACAAGGAATCCTTGGACCTCACCTTAGATCTCTAACTGAGCTAAAGACTTTACTGTACTTGAATCTTACTTAAAAAGCCACTCCTTAGGGAGTGCAGACTCCTCCAGTTCTTTTAAGTTTCCTTCTTTTGGATTTCTGTTTGCTGGTTTGTCTGGAATTTGGGAAATCTAATGAAGGGCAGTGTTGCAAGAAGGGATCAAGAGGAAACACCAGTCAAAACTGGCTTTAGGGCCGGGGATTTAGCTCAGTGGTTCCTCCGCCTGCCTCGAAAGCAGAAGGACCCGAGTTTGATCCCCGGTACCAAAAAAAAAAAACCAACAAAAAACAAAACAAACAAACAAAAAACTGGCTTTAATAGGGGATTTTTGGTTTTGGCAGTAGTGGGGATCGAATCTAGGGAGAGCTCAGCTCCAGCTCCAGCTGTAGCCCTTTCTATTTTATTTTGAGACAGAATCTTGCTAAATTGCCCAGGATCCTCCTGCCTCAGCTTCCTACGAGGGATTATCCCACTAGGATTATAGGGCTGTGCCACCATGTTCAGTGGGATATTTTGTCTAATTGTTTTTTGGGGGGTTTTTTGGTACCAGGGATTTTACTCTTTGTGCTTGCAGGGCAGACAGCGGTGTCTAATTGTTTTTTGAGACATTCTCACTACGTAGTTCAGGGTGGACTTGAACTCCTTGGGATCTTCCTGCCTCCCAAGTAGTGCTGGGATTAAGCAGGGATTGTACCAATGACCACCATGCTGGTTCAGTGGGAATTTTTAAATAACAATAGGTTCCCTTCATTTAGGTACTTTTTCTTTTTTGGAAAGAGGTTCTCACTATAAAGTTCAGGCTGGCCTAGAATTTACTGTAAAGCCCAGGCTGGCCTTGAACTCTCAGTAATCTTCCTGCCTCAGCTTTCCAAGTGTGGGGATCATATTTCTTTCTTGAATTAAGTAATTCAGCCTTTAATTTTAAGCAGATTTTTCTACTCTTTCTCAATTCTCCTTGCAGTCTCTAAGGCAAGAGGCCCTTTATTCCCCTAATGCTTAATAACACTAGTGCTCTCAGGTTGTGTCTTTGGACTCAGCTCCCTTTCTCCTGCTGTTTCTCCCTTTTTAAACTGTGAATGAATTTCTGCAGGTCACCATTCTCTGTTAATAACCTATGGGCTCTTAAAGATGATTCCTTACTCTTCCTTTCTCCTCTACTGATTTCTCCCCTCAAAGCAGAATTACTCTAGCAGTTTAGATTCTTAAATCTTTCTTTGTACGTAGTTTTCATTTTTCCTAGTCCTCTGGATTCCTTCTCTCTCTCTCTTTCTCTTTTTCTTTCTTTTTCTGGACTCACTTTCTGAGGAGCACTTTTCCAGAGCTTCACAGTCTAGCTTTCTATTTCTGTTCTTTCTCTCTAATAATGTGTCATCCTGAAACAATGACAGAATCCCAGTTTCCAAGCTTCATTCAAAAATCACGCCATCCAAAGTGTAGGAAGAGGCCGCATTTGTGGCTGGAGGAGGGAACTAGGCTGAATACGTCAGTGACTCTTAAAGGCTGATATTGCTCCACGGCCTTTGCTTCCTGAATCATCTTAATGGGGCTTTTGTTAAATTCCTTTGGCACTAACAGTAGAGGTGCTTGGCCCGAGTGCCCCCCCCCTTTGGTCAAAGGTATCAATTACATTAAGCCCCCAAGCACTCCCATCTCACTCCTGGCAGTCCCCTGTGCCCCTCTCCCAGCTGCGTCCTTGCCGGTGCCTGGCCCCTGCATTTCGTTAGGAGAAACAATCTCGCTGCACTGTGGAGATATATTTCTCAGCCAGGGCTCCAGCAGTGCCAGCGCTGCTCCCGGTGAGGTCTCTGGCAGCCATAAAAATTTTTATTGTGATTATGTTGGTGTCGGGGTGTCCATCTGGGTTATTGCACACCTAGTTTAATTGATTGAAGTTTAATTTATTGACACTTCAAATTAAATGATCAGAATAAACTGTGCTGTTACTCTGGCCGGCTTGTTTTAATGGTTGATTGCTGGAAGCAGACCTTGGCTTGAACTAAAACCCCCAAAGAGCAATTGACGCTGCTTCTAACTCTCCCCATGTCTTGCCCTCCAAGAAGACCTCGTTATAGATTTCCGACGTATTTATATATATTTTTTCCCTCTCCTTCACAGTGGTGGGAAAGAGTTGGTCCCTGGCAAGGTATAAATTATATCAGAGGTCTAGGGGAGCTGTCACTTGGTCAAAAGAGGAGGAGGGGGCTCCTATGTGAAGAAAACTAGACCCTTGAGAAACCCGTCCTCCCTGGGTGGCAGAAGATGAATGCAGTTATCCAGATATTTGAGGGAA